ACCCCTTTCATGGCTTACTTAAAAATTAATATTAAACATGTGCAAAAACTTGAAAAGTGTATTTGAATTAAAAAAAAAGAATAAACATGTTTAAAACATGTATGTTAAATGAACTAAAAGCAAAGTCGATGAAGTTTTCAGCTATAAAAGCTGCTAGTTTAACTGCAAATCTCTCTAAATTTTACTTCATTTAATTTTATTCGTGTTTTTCGACAGAAGGAAATAAAAAAACATTTATTCTATTAGATTGTGATGTTATGGAATCGCAACTGTTTAAGGAGATAATTTTTAAATCTTTGCCATCGAACATAAAACTCTTGATAACTTTTGGACTACTGAAGGTTATAGACTTGAGGTTTTCCATATATTTAAAAAGGTTGCAGCTAAGATTTATGTTACTAAAAAAGAAACCGTTATTTTGACCCCTTTTTTATGTACTATGTTCCCTTAATAAATAAAGCTGTATTTTTAAAAGCTGAATTCATAAATTTGGTTTTCGTTAAGTACTTTGCTTTAATGAAGAATTTCGAATAATAAGTAAAAAATTTCTTTTTCTCTTTTCTTCTGGTAATTCTTCTATGAAGAACTGGATATATTTTCTGCATCTGTGTTCTGAAAATTTAGAATTTATCTCTTCTGTAATATTTATATATTTTGAATTTGTTTATTTACTTGTGTTTATACATATATAAGCATCTAACGAATAAGCGTTACACAGCAATAAAAGTGATTAGAAGACAAATCACTTCATAAAACCTTTCGTTCACTTCCTGAGGAGTTGCTGACTGATGGTAAAATACCCAGGATGCATTTTTACGTTTCATAATGGTAAGATATTCACAAGTAATTAAAAAGATTGAGCATAATCAATACAGTAAAGCTCAGCACCAAGTATTTTAAACGCAAGAAATATTTATCGAGAACTTTACTTTTCTCTGTTGAATACAACTAAGATCGCCCCAGATAAGGAGGCGATAAATTTGAGAATTCGTTTTTAGTTTCTATATATACTATTTCGGATACAGAAGGGCAAAAAACTTTTTATTCATAAGTTCTGAATCCTTTTTGATAGAAATTTTGCCTTTTTCCTTCTACCTTTATATTTTTTAGCTGCTAAATTTATATAATATTTAATAGTATAGATGTTAAGCAATTTCTTGTACAGTATTTTTTGTAGAATACACAAATTTAATCTTCTAAAAGCATAAAATTTAAATCATAAAATTAGTTAAAACATGAAATTTATATTGTTATTATAAAAATTTAATTTCTGAAACGAATACTTTTATTGCATGTATATCTCTGACAAGAAACAAAGGCTTTCATCATTTTAATTAAACTTAGCTATTATTTAAAAAATAATTTAAAAAAATATTTTTTGAAATGAAAACGATGTAAAAATTGTTATTAGAAAAAACTCGCATCTGTTTCGAAAGTTTTTATTCTGTCTCTCCACGTCGCAGATCATTTCAAAATTTAAACGAGGTTAAAAGTGTGTGTGTCTGTGTGATTATGGCAAAGCCTCGAGGGCTATCTGCCTAAGGGGAGGACATTCCAAGGAAAACTAGCTCGTATACACGTTACACATGGGGAAAACCAAAACGAGGTTAAAAAATTCTGTTCAAAAAATAAAAAAAATAGCTTCCCTTTTTTTTTTCAGTACCCAAAGAAAGTTTTATTAATTTTATTCGTATTATGATTTAAGCATAAAAAAGTCAGTATAAAAGTTTTATAGAAAATTAAAGCAAGGAAACTTGTTTAGAATTCTTTAGAATAATGGCTCATTTTTTTGATAAACATGATCTAGTATTTTAGTAGAATTCTGTCAGCTGATTCGATGCGATTATACAAGATTTTATACGAAGGATCTTAAGAAACTCTACACAAATTTTAATAGCATACCTGCAAAAATCTCTATACAATATCTACATATATCTCCATAGAAGATAAATACGCAAATAAGCTGCTACAAAAGCTGTACTTAAGATTTCATAAAGTTCTATAGAAGACCTTTAATTTGGTTTATAGAAAATATGGTCACATTTTAAAGTTTTCTTCTAAACAAATTTAACACTGGATTTTTTTTATAGGTTTATATGTCATTTTAAGGGATGCCATAGACACTTTTCCTAACCTTTATCGTGAAGCACATTGAGACATATAGTTATGAAATGCTGAATATTACATTGTGTTCTTTCAGATTAAGATCAAGGACAAAAGATAATGGATCATCCTTGATGAGCTCTTCCGCTTAGAATGAATTGCTTGTAAATTCTGAGGCAATATTTTTGCTCGAATTTCTTGCACATTTTTGTATTTTGAAGCCGTTGGTTTGATAATGGATTTTAAACTAGACCTTCTTTAATTCAGTTACCAACTGATTTTGAAATCTTCAGGTGCTGAGCAACTCGACGGATAAAAATGCCCAATTTCTCAACCAATTTCAGTTTCAGCATTTCCCCTTTTAAAAAGTTTTGATTGGTATCGAATTATGATACGTGTTCTTGAAACTATTTTACAGCTCGATATCATTGCTATTTACATTTGACAATTTTGTAGTATATAAACATCTATTACAAAATAATTTTCTACCATTTTGCTTTTACATGCATTTACATTATGAAAGCGTACTATTTCGTTTTTAATAAGTGAGGCCATTTTATAAACGATTCTAGAATGAAACTAAACTGCTACTGTTTTCAAAGAAATAAACCGCTGTTAGCATAACAACTTGAAAGAATTTGCATGTTTATAATTACTGTCTTTATATTTAATCAAGATTTTTGTATCATCCTTATCTGGCACGTTCTTAACCAAAGTTACATTGCACTGAAGAATATGGAGCCCCTAATGTTTTTATCACCAGCAATTCATTTATATATTTAGCTTGCAATAAAAACTTTTACATATTTTTCGAGCTCGCAGATATGCAATACTCGCTTGTGCTTACTTCTGAAAATTATTTTTTTTTTGATAAAAAAACTATTTCATCTTTATTTTCAAACGAAAGACTAAGAAGTAATTAAAAAACTAGGATTCTTTATATGCTACACTGGAATTTCAATATTAATCCATAAATTTCTCTCAGATTTTTCAACTAATTTGTTTTCTAACAACTGTTTCATTTTTAACTACATAATTCTTATTATTATTTATATTTAACCTCCTTAGAATTTAATGTACTATTTAATTTTTATAGTCTTCCAGAATATACCTTCGAAGTTCTAAATTTATAGTCTTCACACTGTGATATAATTATATCAAAAAGAATAATAATTACATTGGTTAACAAATAAAAAGTTGTAGCTATTGAATTTTCAAAACAAATTTTTGGCTATTATTTGGTAAAAATGTCATGTATAGGCGTATTGAAGTAAGTTTTTATAACATTAGGATGAAATAATTAAAAAAATAATGAATATCTAAAAAAAGGTGCAAAAATTTATGTTAAGGATAAATATTTATATTTAGCTATTTACGCTTTTTATCAACAAGGTATCATTTAAAGTAATTTTTTAAACTGGGAAATTCCTCAGGTACATTTGAATATTTTAAGTGTAATGTAGTATTTTACAATCTTCTTCTTTCAATTATAAAAATTTCAGAGTTTGTGCAATATTCTTCATCGAAATTCACAGTGAGGTAAATTCGTGATTTCAAGTTCTGTAAATGTTTTTACATTATTTGTCTTCGAATTCCTATGTTTATGAGGATCGGATTACTCATAAGAATTCAGATAAATATGTGTAATAGTAATGAATATTTTCTATTGTCTTTCAGGGTATACTTCAAGATTTCTGTGGACAGTTGCATTTTTATACTTTTCGGCGTTTATTTCTTCCTGCACAGTTCCATACGATTTCACTGAAGATAAAATAACATGTAATAAAATTTATTACATGCTATTATCATCTCAGAAATTTATCACACATTATTTTCATTTCTTCTATGCTCATCTTTTGCGTAGTCATCCTAAAATCTGATGAATTTTAAATACATCGCTCTTACCTCAGCTGAAAATTCAGAAAATATACACTAGCTTATATTAGCCGAAAATACAGCTGAAATTGTGGGAAACGAAAGAAAATTTGACTCATAATGTTTACATACGCAAGTTATATCACACAATTGGCATCTATCAGCGATTTTACCTTCTTCTGCAAACCTGTGATATCAGCGTTTTATTTTCTCACTTATATTAGATTAAATGAATTCCAATGAGCTGTTATATTTTGTCATTTTAAGGAAACAATGTTGACAAGTTCAGGATTTTATTGCATTATTGCACAACGTACTTAATATTCGAGTAAAAGTGTTCTTCCACTTTATACTGTTTGCAACTTCTTAGAACTGGAAAATATCCTTAAAGGCAGTGCACTGCATAATACACTGTGAGTTATTTTGTTACAAATGGTTACAGCAAACAACGTAATTGTCACAGATTTACCTTTGGTACATTAAAACAAACTTGACTATCCAAATTTTTTATCCCGCATTGCAGATGTTCCACACGAGATCCTGTTGAAACGCGATAGTTCCAATCATTTTTTACCCTTAGCTTTCAAGGAAATTATTTCATAATTGATTTCATTTTTCATCAATAGATGGCACCAGTAGCTTGATTTTCTGTCTCTCACTGTTATCGCCTGGGCACAGGTTTCTGTTTCATAATCTGCACTTCTGAAACTGAAGAAGGAGGTTCTACTTTTAATCCTCCGAAACTTAGCTCCGCAAATTTATGAATGTTACTTATTACCTTAGTCCCTCCAATAATACAGTGTGTAGTCAACAGAAGCAAATGATAATGCTCTCCTCACCAGACCTCTAAACTCGCCAGACAGAAGTCCTTGCGGCTTCTTTTTGAGAGGGGAGGATATGTTAAAGATACTATTTTTGTGCCTCGATTGCGATATGACCATGATAAACTTAAACTCCCCATTATCCACTTCGTCGCATGAATTACATCCGATACGCTTCAGCATGTGTGGAATGCACTACAAGTTGGATGTATGTGGCTTGGAAAAATATTTCACTCACAGCATCTGTGATATGTAGCAAGAAACATGGTTAGGCAAAGCTTAATTTGATGTATCAGAAGTAAATTTATTTATCCCAATTACATTGTTTGCTAAAATCATTTGTTTTAACCTACCTGCATCTATAACATTACCAAAAATCACATTTCAGAGACTATACCGCTCTTATACTATACAATTAAATTGGATCCAAGTCATTTGTAGACACATGGAACTTGACAGTTTCAGCTATAAGTGCGTTATTCTTAACAGCTCCGATCCTATCTTTCTGTAATTTTTTCTCTTTATTACCAATGTTTTTTACTGGCAATAAAGTTACGTTTTCGTGACCATTACAAGATTTGTCTGTTTTCCCACTAACTACCTGACAAGCCGTTGCATTAGCAGCGGAAACGTTTGGCTTAAAGCAAGGGAGAACAATCATAAATTCCTTTCGGAAATTCTCATTCAGCCAAGCGTACAAAAAAGGGTTGTAGCAAGTCGAGCTCATAGCTGTAGCATGAGAGAGGAAAAATATAACATTCAAAAATGTCCAGGATGACGCTGGAATGTAGAAGTCTACCACCAGATTATAGATGTTGATGGGCAACCACGAGGTACCGAAGATGACAACCATAGCTATGAGCATTCGGTTGGTGCGGCGTGTTCGCTCTCTTTCCATCTCCTCCTTTTTGGCTGATTTAGCGCCTGGTTTAGTTCTGGCACGGTTCTTCAGCTTGATGCAAACTTTCATGTAGCAAAAAGTAATTATTACGAAGGGGATAACGAACTGCAGGACAGAAGTTGAAAAACCAAAAGCCTTTCTGCTGGACTCGTGAGGCCAAACCTCATCACAGTAAAGACCTTTCTCAGTAGGAACAAGATCCATGAAGATACCATATGGTAAGGTAAGGAGTCCAGCCAGCACCCACACAGATATAATAATCAAGTAGCAGTAAGTGACTTGCAGTCGTGGCTTGAAAGGGTATATGATAACGAAAAATCTGTCAATGGCGATAGACATCAGGGTGAAAGCTGATATATACACGCTCACACCTTGGGCATAGGGTACTAAGTGGCACAAAATTCGGCCAAAAATCCATTCTCTCAAAAACATATACAGAGGTGTAAATGGCACAGCGAAAGTGCAAAGTAAGATGTCTGATAGGGCAAGATTGGTAATGAAAAAGTTTGTAACCGTCTGCATGGATTTGTTCCGGAACACTACGTAGCACACCAAAACATTGCCGCAAATTCCGAGTGAGAATATCATGATGTAAAGAGCGTAGAAAATAGCTCTGAGTCCTGGAAGGCTAGTGAATATGTCCCCATGGTCGTAATACTCATCTTCTTCTAAATGAGAGGAATTGAGACTTAAATTTTGCCACTCCAAAGAGAAATTTTGAGTAAGAACAGCCAAGGCTGCATAATTACTGATGTGGAAACCATTTATTATATGGATAGACATTATTTATTAATATACAGATAATAATGATATATTAGTTTAATTGTATCCAGTGATCATTCTCGTTTACTGCCCGGAATTATGACGATCATTGTTATGGTCTTTTCCTGAAAGAAATTCTTTCGCGTTCATACGCCATTAATTTAATAGAAGCCAGTAATCTTTCCTGTGCACTTTCAGAAAATCTGAAAATCTCCACATTTATATTCCAACAAAAATTTATTCCCGCTCATGTAACATTAATTTAATTCAAGGCAATTTTCTCTCCTGTTACTTTCTGAAAATTCCGAAAACTCCAGTCTTCTGCGGAAAGATGTTCGCTCATATTCATGAATCAATAATTCAGTTCAAGCCAGTTGCCTTTCTCTTTCATTTTCAGGAAATCTGCAAATCTCCAGTCTTCTCCTAAGAGATATTCACTTCTAATGAGTAATATTCACATTAACTCATATTCACATTTCATTCCTCTGAAAAAAAAAAAAAAATTATGACATACTTAAATTTGCAATAAATACAGAATAGTAACTTTTAACTTTTAATACTTTATTTCTCCTTTCTCATCAGTGTCAGAATGTTATTCTTGCCATGTTTGCTTTTCACATGATTTTACGCAATTCGTTTCAAACAGAAAGCAAAACTCAAAATTGAAAGTTTTTATTTTAGTATTCACATAAATTTCATATTACATAAATCAGTTACACATAAATTTCATGTTTATTATATATAAACCTCAAGATAGTAAATATGTATTATTTATCTGTTCATTAATGTAGGAAAGAAAAAAAATTAAAGAATCCTTTGTCACTAAATGACAATACTGCGTAGCTGGATTGAAGAATTTCTTATTAGAGTTGATAACGAGTTAGTTAAATTCAAAAGCTATAAGATGTCAGTCCTACTTTAAAATGTGTACACCATTTGCATTTTATATGCTTATATCGTTAGAATATTTTAAAATAAAGTGTTAGTTTATTGCATCACTTTAAGAAGAAACGCATCATGTCGTACGATAATGCTATATTGTCATCTTTAATAAGTATAATTAAGAAAATATTTTTGTTGATTTTTTTTCTTCTTACGTAATGCTTACATGCAACAATTTTCCTCGTTTTTTCGACTCCCATGATACCACCCATATCTTACCTGTTTCTTGAGTTTTTTGTTACAGTTCGAATGTAGAAATCTGAGAATACCTGTCCTGAAAATTCCTTCTCGATGTCCCGATGGGGGTGGAAGGGGATCATCACTAGTTCAGAACTCGGGTTCAGAACAACAAACTTAAAAGCATAGTGAATATATGAATATATGTAGCTGCTCAAGAAATGAGCGCTTATTCGTTAAAACATTTAGAAAGCAATTTTATCAATAAGAAATAATGTGCAGTTCTTGAACAGCAATTTTATCAATCAGAAATAATAAGCAGTTCTTGAACTCGAATGTAATGCAAAAACTGTAAATCCTAACATTGTGGAATTGTAATATATTGCAAAATCTGTAAACCGTAATAGTACAATTGCAAATATATAGATCACGGATGTCAAACTCATAGGTACACTTGGGCCAAACAAACAAGGTTTAACTTTAGGCGGGCCGGGAAAAAAAAAAAAAAAAAAAAAAAAAAAAAAAATCAATATTCATAGAACGTAGATTTATTTCGAATAATACAATAATAACATATATATATATTTATATAGAAAGGAACAAGAAAAATTTAATGTTTACATCCTGATACTTGACATCTCTTCTCTGCTATTATCTTTCCTATTTCGGGAGAAATTTTTGTTTTGCAGATAACATTCAACGCTGACCCAAGGTGAGCATCATTAATACGGTTTTTAATAGGAGACTTATTACCTTTCATGACTGAAAATAACTGCTCGCACCGATAAGTGCTACCAAACATGGAAATAATTTCATATGCGAATTTTCGAGTATTTTCAAACTTGGCTGGTAAATATTTGTAAAATTCAGGCACGCCCACTTCAATGAATTTTGCTTTCAAATTTGAGTTGCATTGAATCTCGATCACCTCCATTTGCATATGGCTAGGTACTGAGTCAATACCTATTGAGAAAATCGAAGAAAACAAAAAAAAATTGTCTTCGAGGGAACTAAAATCATTATAACCTCGTTTCAAATTCAGTTGTTAAATTTGCAACTTTTCTGCGTATTTTTGATACGAACAAGTATCATCTAAACTTGATTTGTTCATGCTGCACGTCGGGAAGTGCGTCAAATCTTCATTTTTAAGTTGTTTTTCCCAAAGAACTAGTTGACATTTGAATGCTTTAATTATGTCAAACATGTTCGTAATGATATGATCTTTTCCTTGTAACGATAAATTTAAATCGGTTAAGTGTTTGGTTATATCAAACAAGAAAGATAAATCTTGTATCCATATTGGATAGTAAAACAAACTTACGTCTTGATTTTTCGTTTTTAAAAACTGACATAGTTCTTCTTTCAAATCCCAGAATTGTTTGAGAATCTTAGAACAAGATAACCAATGTACCTCGGTATAGTAGAACAAACCCGAATATTCACTATCTAACTCACTTACAAAAGCAGTGAATTGACGCTGATTTAAACCTCGAGATCTTATAAAATTTAGAACTTTTTTTATATATGACAAAACATTCTCCATATTAATTACTTTCGTGCATACAACTTCTTGATGTATAATACAATGCATATGATGAATGTTTGAACCGTGAATTTCACTAAGTTTTTTTCTTAGTAATGCTACGAAGCCCTTGTTTTTCCCGGTCATTGATGGAGCACCATCTGTAGCTACAGAATTTAATTTTGCCAAAGGTAGATTGTATTTCTGCAGAAGTCCAAAAACACAAGTAAATATATCTTCTCCTGTGGTAGTACCGGGCATCGGTATTAGTTCCAGTAATTCCTCAAAAATGTTAAAATTCTTGTCACAAGAACGAAGAAACACTGCTAATTGAGCTTTGCCACTAATGTCCGTGCTCTCGTCACAGGCAATGGAGAAACTTTCGAAACTAGATGATTTTGCTTTGATCTGATCACTTAAACTCGCGGCTAAATCAGTAACTCTTTCCGCAACTGTATTTCAAGACAATGAAATTGATTGAAAAGCCTTCACATTTCCAGGACAAACAATTTCTCCAGCTTTCATTAGGCATTCCTTGATGAAATCACCGTCAGTAAAGGGCTTCGAATATTTAGCTATGAACTCGGACAAGACATAGCTTGCATGTACCGCCGCTTCACTTTCTTGCAATACTTTACTAAACATGGACTGTTACTTTTTCACTCCTAACTTGAGCTCTTTCAACTTTTCTTCTCTCATGAATCCTTTGTAATTGTTATATTTCGATTTGCGTTGTTCGTAATGACGTTTAATATTATATAACTTTGGTACATTAATAGTATTATTACATATCAAGCAGATTATTTTACCTTTTATTTCACAGCAAAAATATTCTAATTCCCATTTTACTTGGAATATTCTATGTTCGTCAGCGATTTTTCGTTTAATTTTGCTACCACTTGGTTTTGATATAGTCATCTGAATACAAGGGCTGTAATAACACGGTTAACGTTAAAAAGTTAACAAAAATTTATTCTTTTCACAAGAGATAAATCAAATGCTGAAATATTTCTTCAAAAATATTCTAACAATATCACAAAATGTCAAACGTTTAGCAAAAATCAATTCAAAACAGAGAAACTAATTCTATCTCCCACAGCGAAATCGCTACAAATCAATCACAGCATTAAGTAAACAAACAGTTCGCTAGAACTACAGCTACTACTGAGATGAGTTGTTTATTCTCGGCTTTTATAAGCTTTATAATTAATTTCTCGAATATACTGGAAACATCTATAAATATCTGGATTTTTGTGGATGGCAACAGCAATTACGAGATATTTATTTCTTAGGTATTAAATGCACGCGCTGTTTTATTTTTAACCTTCCAACGCAGCTGTCTTTTCAAAAATCGTCTGCGTTGCTAAGGCGACATGAAGCAAATCTAATTACAATTCTAAAATAAAAAAACTAACTAAATAAATAACTATGAAATCCGTAACAATATGAATTAAGTAATAATTAATAATAAAGCAAAGTGCATGCACCAATATATCGTACAAAACTATGATTGGAAAAACTGAGACCATGAGTTCGGCCCACATTCGGCTATCGGGGGTTGCGTACAAGTTCTGAGTGCACGTGTCCCCCAAAAGCCGAAGGTAGCTGAACGCAAGCTACTCACACGCATTTGTAATTTAAGTAGTGTGTTGTCAGCTCGCTGTGAGTAATCTAACAACACTGAATAAATTATCGTTAATTACTTAGCAGTAAACATTTCATTTTTTTTCTTCGTCGATATGTTATTTTATTATATATATTATTATTTGCCGATATATTGGCCGGGCCGCAAAAATATTTGTTGTGGGCCTCATGCGGCCCGCGGGCCGCGAGTTTGACATCCTTGATATAGATGATACAGATTTCATTACATCATATTTAAATCACAGGCATATTACTTGCGAAATTAATTCTTCCATAATTAAATTCCTGAGAATTCTTTCTGAAAAGGAAGAGGGCAATAACGATATCATTTCAACAGAGTTTTATATTTAACAATTCAGCCAATCATTTAGTTACCATGGCTATCAGGCCAAGTATTCCGAATCACTTTATTTCATTAATCTTTTCCAGAATCGTACTAAAAATGTTTTCAACGTTTGAAATACAATTGTTTGAGGTACTAAGGCAGCAAGAATCAGCGTAACATTTATAAATTTTCAGGACTCGTTTCGAAGGTTCAAACACAGAACATCCGCTGCAAAAGTGAAAATGTCGAAAGATAAGCCTGTGCTCATGCGATAACAATAATGATTTCATTAACATTATTGAACGAGAGATTTAAAAATTTTCATCTGAACGCATCAAAAACACTCTCTTGGTTTGGCAGATCATTAGAATTCTATTTCCCCTCCTTTTTTCCTCCTTGGTTGTTATTCCTTTCATTCCATCAGTTCCATCCTATACAATTATACGAATTTTGTAGAAATTCAACTTTAGGATAATTTTTTACACTATCAATGAAATTCGCAGTTCCATACATAAAGACCCCACCTGGATATGAACTCTTGGAGTATATACAGGATTTCTTGTCAATGTGGTTTTAATTTACATTGCTCAAAATAAAACAGTCGTAAAATTTCACGCTAAGGAATATGAGGAACATGTTAAAAAAACACATAAATTCTCTGTTGCCCAACACTCTTAGTCACAAAACTCATATTTTCCATTTATTTTAATTTTATTTTGCATCAATTTTCATTTAGGATAAATAATGTAATCTCTCACTCAGAATCACTTTGCCAGTTATAAAAATGTGCAAACGAAAAATTAAAACAGTAAAAATATATAAATTTGTATATAAAATGTAAAATATTTTCATTACATACAAATATGTTTTCATT